GGTGTACTCACTGGTTATACAAACCACTGTGCACACTGGTGTACTAACTGGATATACAAACCGCTGTGCCCACTGGTGTACTGATTGGTGTACGTACTAGTGTATTTAGTGATGTACCCACTGGATATGCAGCTTCTGTGCCCACTGGTGTGCCATCTGCCTTACAAACTGGTGTACTGATGATGCATTGATTAGAGTAATAACTGGCATACCAAATAGTATATGTACTGGTGTACTGACTAGTGTACCGAATGGTGTACCTATTAGTGTACCCACTGGTGTACCCACTGGTGTATCTACTGGTGTACCCACTGGTGTACTAACTGGTGTACCCACTGATGTATTAGACCATCATGTGGTAGGTTAGTGTTCCCTCAGCAGACACTGGGGCAGGTGGGCTCTGTTTATCCACTGTATAGACAGTCTGTATAGGGTGCATAGACAGTCTGTACTGTATATTTTGAGAATATTTTTTGTCATTTACATGATGTGTTCTCTTCTTTTTAGTGACATTGGTCGAATCAACTTCAATGCATTAGATATCAGTTATATTCAGGGTCGGAATGACCAATTTTTCTTGACTTTTCAGTGAGGAAATTTGTGTCACCAGTTCAGGACTCGCTTCCCAGTAATTCCAGCAGTGAGGACCAGTCCAGTGGTGAGTCAGCCTCGCCTGTTCCCTGTGATGCAGTGATTCAGGGATGTAGCACATCCTCTCTCCCACTACATGGCTTTTCCTTTACAGTGTTTTTTGTCCCTTGTTCACCTTCAACCTGCTTCATTTCCTGATCTTTAGGAACTGACCAGCACCATGTGACCGTACCCTCAATGTCCGCGAAAACTTGCATGCACAACAAGCAAGCCATTCCTAAACCATCTTTTGCCATGGCCACTTCACCTGGAGACTTGCCCCTCGGTAAGTAACAGCTGAATATAAGAAGCGTGCATTGATTTTACTGACTGTTCAGTGAATTTACTTGCTCCTGCAAAAATCAGGGATGGTATTTCCTATCCAGTTGATGAGCTTGATATATCAGTTGAGTGCTGGGATCTAATATATCGTTTGGTGATGAATCCTAAGGAGGTGACTTTAGACACTCATCTAAACCCACCTCTAGCAAACACCTTTACAAAGTGAACGTTAAAGCCTAAAGATACGGTACATTCTGAGGTTGATAGTTTTGGCAGGATCTTTTCTTACAATCTAATCAAACGGTTCTGGTTTCAGGAAAGTTATCAACAGATGAAATATTTCTAAATCTCTGCTCTTTCGAATAGCTTTGTCAGAGGAACTTAAAAAGAAAGTGGAAGAAAGACGGGGAAACAAGTAGTGATCTACCCAGTTCTTCGAAGCCAGCGTTTCTGCAAGGAATCCCCAGGTCTTCCCCGAGATCCCACGGAAATGGCTGAAGGACTACACACCGTGCACTGACTTTGCGTGCCTTTTGATTTGCTGGGCACATGCACGCTGTGCACCAGTGCAGACACTCTGACGTGTGAGGATCCATTACTCTCGGCCTCCCGAGGCGCAGAAGCGATCCGACGGAGCGGAGAGTGCCCACTTAGCTAAGCTCTCCAGTACAGCGCTGAGGAGCGGGGAAGATTGACGAGGGAAATTGATTCTTGTTGGAAGCAGATCGACTGGGTGGCGTAAGTGGTGGTAAATCACAGTGTAAGTGTCACATCAGTGCCACAATCATTTGTTAACTGAAATATTGTACATATCTTTGTGTACGGCCACCTGCCGTTTATTGAATGACTCAATCCCCATTTCTCCGGTTTCTTACTTGTTCTCAGCAGACGCGCACAGAATTGAGAATGTGAATTTCTTGTACAGATTTTTTTTTGCAGTTCATTATATTGAGAACAAATTTGTTTTATTTATTATCCATAATCCTGAGGATATGTAAGACGCATAAATTAAACATCAATTAAATAGTAAGTTTTTATGTAACTCCACTGATCCCCTTAGAATTATCACTTTGTAATCGTACCTTAAATCCAGAATGATGGACCTGAAATGTCTAGCAGCAAATGTTTTCTTTTTGTGGGTCATATATTCATGTTCCCTTAAGTGTATTTCCTTGTACTGATTTCATTCATAGTTTTTATAATAATAATAATAATAATAATAATAATAATATAATGATAGTAATAATAGTTATCTAATATTTATAACTAATAATACTAAAGAGCCATGCATATTTTCACTGAGAGTATTATGTACAGTAGGTACTGTTACAATAATTCAAAGACGATCTTCAAAGTTTTTCATTTATTGTGAGACCTAACTGGTCTTTGATAAAACCCTCGTGTCTCTGATAAAGACGTACGTAATAAGAAACGCTGCAGGAATGTGACGGACACGGTCTTCTGATCTGCGGTGAGGTGAACGCCGTGCTGGTTAATTCGGATCGACACACAGTACAGCAACGTACACTGTCTCAGTCTGGCTTTATTTGCCCAGCTAGACAAAGAGTACAAGATTAAAGCATTTACAACATTTTATCATCAGGAAGTCAAGTTTATATCATAGTTTGGAAGCTTTAATGCATTGTGGAGTCTACTAAAAAAAACAATCCAATAAAAATGCCCTTGCATTTAAATTTGCCAGTGCAGTCCAATGGTGGGTGAAGTCAATCGGACAACCACTGGCTGGATTCTGTCCCAGCTGATTCCCATGAACAGAGAGCAGGTGCACTGCAGTACACACCAGTAAAATTCAGGCACCCACATACCCAGCTTGCAATACAGCAGACATAGTTACATTCTTACATGTTGCAGGTGTGGACGAGCTGGGTGAGATTGGGGGTCAGGCGCCACAATCCGATCACAAGCACAGTGTCCCACTGAGCCCACTGAACCACACCAAGCCAACAAAGTTGTGCTCCTAGTATAGACTAACCCCCTTCCCCTACTCACCCCCCCCATTCACACTGTCAGTGAAAATAATACCATCTAGCAGAAGCCAGACGGCACTTATTCGGTGACTGCTAACATGTACTTGTGCTGCCTTCTCATGAAATTTGGACTGGGGGGAAAAAAAGAGAAACTGAAAACGTCAGAATAGATGTAATTGCAGAAAAACGATCTTTATCCTTCTGGTTTAAATGAAACTCTGCTCTGTGGATGATGCAGGCTTCCGTGGCTGCATGTGACTCAGGTTTCATGAGGCTGAAAGGCACAAGAAGTTAGGAGAATCCCCCTACCCTCCACAGGGGGGTTAGTGGACGCAAACGCTAGCAGGAGCAGGTTGAAAGTTCTTAGTGATGGGAAATGGGTTTGGATCACTCTCAGAACTGGGGCGGGCCCACATGGGGTGAGTTTGACCGGCGACGGTGGCAGGGGCCTCAACTTAGTTGATGCTGGCGTTTGAGCTGCTGGTGCCGCTGCTCCTCCTCTGGCCGCTCTGCACCACCCTGGGCACCTGCAGCCCCGTCTGCACTGAGAAGCTGCCATTCCACACCTGCAGGGGGCGACAGAGGGACAGCCGGTGTAAGAGCCGGCAAGCCCCAGACGGGGTGGGGCAGGAACGTGGAGGCGTGAGCCGCTTACCATGAAGGCTGGTATGACGGGCTGCTGGAACTTGGTTCTGAACGTGTGCAGCAGCTGTTTGGTCCTGGAATTGTAGAAGGATAGAATCCCTGGAAGATGCCGGGACCGAGTTAGATATCAAACTCTACTCCCCTCTCAAGTCAGCAGAGTAAAAAGCAGAGAGTGACCTACGTAAAGCTCATCCCACTCACTGAAATACTGCATGGTTTCATAATACGTCACTTATTGATCTGTGCACATTTCAGGAGAATTGTGGCCTCACCGTTGGAGGCTTAAATCCCGTTCCTGGGTCTGTGAGCGTGTTGTATTTGCATGTGATTCTCAAGTATCTTATTTTTTTCTGGATGTTCCGGTTTCCTCTAGTATACAGCATGTGGCGAGTTTCCATACTGTGTATGTGATTGTGTGTTTGTGTCCTGTGATGGACTGGTGTGCCATCCAGACTGTCCCCTGCCCTGTGCCTTGTGTTACCTGGGCCATCACAGACCTCTGCTGAATAAGCAGGATGGATGTAAGGATGGATGGGTGGAATGTGAGACCTTGCCATCAAGCATAGCATGGTTTATCTGCTTTGTGCACCTTCCTCGAAGCCACAGTAGACACCGACGCGGTCGGGGATGGGGCAGTCCAGGGTGCGCGCCTTGTTGTTGTGCTTGGCCGTGAAGCTCTGCTGCAGCCAGTTGTTGAGGTGGAGACACCAGGAGGCGCTGCTCTTCCCCAGCTGGTCGAAGCGGCCCAGGGAGCGCAGGGCCACCCCGACGGCGAAGGCCTTGCTCTCTTTGTCAAACCGGACCTCCCAGTAGTGCTGGCCAGCGTCGATCATGGTGTCTCCTGAGATGTCAGGAGGACGGATACAACAATAATGTGTTGTGGCACGAGGACGATCCACGCTGGGATGTTATTCAACTCAAAAACACAAGAAAAAATTAATCATGAGGAGTCTAGCAAAGGCAGGGAGGTGAAAAGCAAGAAATAAAGCAGGGAGCATCGCAGGAACAAAGACAGCAAATACATTTAACCAGAAGAAACACAGGAGCAAACATACTAGGGTTTAAAACCAAGGGGCACTAGGGGAACACAGATTGGGATGGTGACACTAACTGGCCAAACAGGGAAGTGACAGGCAGGGCTGGAACAGATCCTGACATAGTGGGTCCATTAGGACACTAGAAGGGCAGCTAGTCACATGCATTCAGGAGAGTGATCCAGAAGCTTAGCCAGCTTTGCCCCTGCCTGATCCGGTCCGATCCTTACCTAGCACGGTGTAGGACTCAGCCGTGAACCGGTCACGACCCACCCGGGCCGAGGGTGCCCTCTTTGGAGACATCATTGCATTCCTGGGGGAGAGGGCAAACGAGGGGACAGAGAATCAAGGACACGGACAAAAGGACCGGTTGGACGGCGCCGTCACAGTGGCTGTGTGGAGTCCACTCGGACCTGGCGGGAGAGTTCATCGGTGAGCTGGTCCTGTTCTTCTCCTTACGCATCTCTTGGACCTTCCCGCCACTGCTGTCCCACTCCACGGAAAGGTCCTCCACCCGCAAGTTCTGGTGGGACGAACTAGAGTCCAGCTTGAAGAGGAAGGCTAGAGAAACAGACGAAGCCACGGCTGAGGTATGTAGCTCCTGAACCATCTCCAGAAACACAGCACTGTGTCTCTTTTTAGTCACATGACCTTATCCCTGATCAGAATGCAATCCACTTAAACCGTACATCATTCCAGCCAATCCCCTACGCTTACTGTGGATCCTACGCTTAGCTGTGCGTCCTCCTACTCTTACGCTTAGCTGTGTGGTCCCATCAGCGTCTCCCATCTCTCCACCACCTCCACTCTGAGAAAGAAACTCGTCTTTGCCAATCCTAGTGTGAGCTGAAGTGCAATAAGGACGTGAACGTCTCCTCTGTTACCAAATTTGACCTCGTAGTGACCTTGTAATGACCTTAATGTGACTTTGCGACCACTTTAAGTAGCATCAATATTTAGTACCTCATTCTGATGCCTTTAAACATCAGTTCCTATCTTAAACATACATGAACATACATACTTCATATTTTAATATTCTAGAACAGGGTTCTTCAACTCTGGACCTCGATTCCAAATCCAGGCCGTGTTTTCAGTTCCCCCTTTTAATAATTACTGATTCTGATTGGTCAGAGGCTTCACACCTGACTGACGGGTAAAGGAAGGCTGGAAAACCAGCAGTGCTCGGACCTCGAGGACCGTGAGTTGAATAACCCTGTTCTAGAATGTTCTGTTCAACCTTCAGTCTTGGCGCAGCACCGTAGCAGCTCATGTAGCTCACCAATGTGCATTATTTCCACTGTATTGCTGGACCAGTGAAAATGTATATTTGTATCACTGAGGTTCTGCTGACGTCCAGAACTCACCATTGGTTTCCAGGGTTACGGGCTCCGAGAAATCTCCAGCCACGGCCTTATTGCACGCTTTTACACGGAATGTGATAAAGCGCGTGTCAAAGCGTAACCCTGCAGATAGGGGGCAGCACACGCACAGTGGCATTAGGCTGGCTATTAACGTGTCGTATTTGTGCATTTAACCAGAATTATGTAAGCAAAACCAGCACCATATCTGTAGGGGCATGAAGTGTTTTGATATAAATTCTATATAGTATGCGCTGCCTTTGAAAGTGCAGAGTCAGTGTTAAAGCATATGTGTATACAGAGTGTAGTGGACAGCTCAATTAAAGGATTCAGTTTCTAAAATGTAACAAATTACATTAAATGTTAAATAATAATAAGGTGTTTAGCTTTTGGACTGGGTTTCTATGAACACAGTAACTGGTAAACAAACAAAACAAATGTAGAAAATATATCTATTCGTGGTAAAATACTCATCAGCCATCTCTATGAACAATGGACATGAAAAAGAAGAAGAAAAGTGATCATTCTAGAAAATTCATTTTCCGACTCATGCGGGCATTTACGACCCAGTTTCCTACGCCAAATGGACCACATGGGTGAGAGAGATCTTTGAAGTAGAATGTAAAATGACCACTTCTTGACAGATACAAGAAATTTGAGTATGGAAGGCTTTAGTCATAAGCACAGTCGCGGTCTTGTCTAGCCTTCTGTGATTTTCACTTGGTGACCGTTTAGCGTAACAGAACTTCTTTGCTAAACATGGAGTGGGTCTCTTTGTTGAGTTGGCTGATTGTAAATATGGCCGCATCTGTATGCTTGCTGTGGGCTGTGTTCATTCCGCGTGCACGTAGCCTGCTGGAGTTGCATTTGAAGGCCATGAGGTCACCTGTGAGCATGTGCTCTGTCTGGCGAATGCCCTCCACCACCATCCAGGGGTGCTCCTCACGGACGCGTGGCGGGCCCTCGTGATTAGTCCGCCGATGCTCCAGGATGTAGTGATCGATTTTGGTGTCGGGTTCCGGCAGAGTCCAGACCACCGTCACTGTGTTGTCACACACCTGGCACTCAGACACCTGTATTTCCGGGGTCGACGGAACTGAGGAACAGACAGAGAGGGATTTTCTGTGTCCATAATGGCTCATACAGAGGACTGATAAATAAGAGGAAGGTGCGTGTATAGTCCAGTAGACAAGATCTTCAGAATCTATGACTGCATCTTATATAACTTAATCTTAACGTTGAGTTTAGTTGAACTGAGTTAGTTAAGAGACAGCGTTCTGGAAGAATGGACCTCACTGACCTGGAAGGAACTTGATGGCCTGTAGCATGTCTCTCTCCTGAGTGAAATCCACCATCATGTGACTCATGTTGTCACTGACCTTGGGCTTCAGTGAGAGCCGGAAGGCGGGGGCCATTGTCACACTGTGTATACGTACACACACAGACACAAACGCTTTTATATTAGCCAGGAATAGCCCAGAAATAGCTCAGCATGAATCTAAAACAGAAAGCAAACCTAGACAAATTCTACTTATGTGATAAAGAGGTGAGGAAAAAACTGCCCCATTGAGGAATGGATTAACACAAAACTTTGTTTGTTTTCAAATCGAGCCTGGCGCAGGGAGATTACAGCCCATTTACAGATTACTGTGCATCAGCTCAAAGATTGTTGAGTATGATTCTTCATATCTGCCCATAAGTTTACAAGGTGATGGGTTGACGCTTAATACAACACGGATAATTGATATACTATACCTATCCTTTATGTCTTTGGCAGCCTGGAAGCAAGTAAATTGAAGGAAGACAAAGAGAAACAGAAGGGAAGTTGAAGAGATTGCAGAGTTGCAGCCTGTAATTCTGCTAATTTCACCTGACCAGGTTCAGAATCCCACAGGCAGCCTATGCTGGTATAAGCGACAAAGGAACGCAGTGCAAAGCCAAGGTCTCAGCAACAGACACTGGATTTGTGCAGCTGCTGCTGCTGACTCTGCTATATACACTGCAACAGAGATCTGGAGTGTATGTTTAATGCTTGTAGAACTCTTGTAGTGTGTCACAGATTATTGGTGTACTCTGCACTCACCCATAACACATATAGAACTGCTGCTTAAATATTGATTTTTGTAACTGTTGCATTTTTTTTTTAATTACTGGAACTCAGATAGTGTCTCTATTTTGGTGGCTATGAAAAATCTGGAAAACATCCCTCAGTGTTCAGTTCTTGGAGCACAAGGCAGAACGAATAAGGCATGTTTTTTCATTGGGCTGGCCCACCTGGTTGAAGCCATCGATCTCTGAGGAGCACAGTGTGTGATTGGCCAACTCCAGCAGCTCCTCTGAACTCTCCAGAGCTTTGGTGCATGTGCTCACCTGGTTCTGAGAGAGCAGGCAAAGGTCAAGGCGAACACGAGATAAACAGAGCCGAAGTACAACCACATGCCACAGGGAATATAATTAATGCTATCTTTTTCCTTGATTCATATCTGTCAGGGAAAAACACGAGAATAAACAGACAAACCGGTACTAAGTACTAAGTACCGACCAAACCCAATCAGTGCTAAAAATGATCTCTTGTTGCTCCCACACAAAATGTCCTGCCGTCATTCATCCATCCACCTTCCTACTACATATTCAGTATCCTGCCCTACAAAGGTAAAACACGGTAACTATACTAAAACTGAGAAAAAGGGTGTTTTACCTTAGTTTTACTGTAGATTTTATGTTTACTATAATCTCAGCGTGCTGTTTTCAAAACTGAGCACAGCTGAACTAAGGAATTTTGTCTCAAAGCAGAACCTACGTGGCCCCTGATTTCAGCCATAACTCCATTTTGATAAAACGTGCAGTTATGGCGTTTCGCCTTCGTAGGGCAGTACAGACCTGGAGTACCAGTGTCAGCTATCAAAAAGCAGAGGTGGAGATTTCAGGTCCACAAAGTACAAAGTGTTTGGTTGAAACAAAATCTTGGTCTGGATTTGTACTCTCTAGACCTGAGATCTCCACCTCTGGCAGACAGCAATGTAGACAGTGGCAGCAATCAGCAGGAGCGAGCGCAGTGAACACACCTGCAGCTCATAAACTCGGGCGGCTTTCTCCTGCTTTATCCGGGTCAGCATGCTCTCCTTCAGCTCGTCCAGGACTGAGCACAGCGAGCTGAACTCACCCTCCAGGTCCTCTTGAGCACGGTTAGCATTCGCCTGTCAGGAAGGCAACAGATTCCATCCCTCTTTATTTATTTATTTTTTTAAAACAACCCAACTCTCTGTCCGTACTCTCCAGTCAGTGAAAGAAATGTCAGTGTCTCAGTACAACATGGATAGCATTTTTTTAGCAAGCAGGAAGTGCACTAACTATCTCCACTGGTACTTCCGCTTGGTTCTTAGAAGTGTACAGTGTTTAATTAATATTCACTCATCCAACTTCCGTAGTCAATGATCCCTGGGGGGTGACAAGCCTGGAGCCAATGTCCATGGCAGGGCAGACCCTGACATGCTCTGGACAACTTAGTGAAATCTGCTATTTTTTGGATTGCAGGAAGTAGCTGGTTTACCTGGAGGAAGCAGCCCCAAGGGGGGGGAGAGCCATGCAAATACAAGGGTGGGACAGGATTTCAGTCCGAATTAATCCCAACTGTAACCCGCCATGTCGGGTCAGGCTTGGCACCCGTGGTAAATGTCCCCAAAGAAGGGTGTATGTCAGTACCTCGACGTTCTCCAGGTTCTGCTTCAGCGAAGATATGAAGTTCTGGATCTCCTCGTTCTTCAGAGCCAGTGTGTTGGTAATTTTCCTAAGTGATTCCTGAGACAAGTGCACACAACAGCAGAGAACGGGAACTGAGTGACCAACTTGCCCTGCTTGTCCCAAAATCAAATAGGTGATCATCTTAAGAATAACTTCTCGAAGTTAAGTTTTCCATTTCCTCAAACATGTTACATAGAGAAACCAAAGAGATACAGGTTACAAAACACTTCATTGCTCAAACCTTTAGCCACAATGCATATTAATATACAGTAATACAGGCATTACTGTAAAGATAAACCAAAAATAAAAAGATAAATAAAAATGGGGACGTATAGATAAAATGAATTACTATTTTTCACATTCCACTGGCCACCAATCACAGCCCATCCCACATCTGTGTGGATCTCTCCACAAACTCAAGCTGGCCAGCATCACCCCCCACCCCTGCAGAAAACCATCCTCCATCTTCAATCTCCATATCTCTCATACCCTAACACACACACACACACACTCACACTCATACACCTGATCTGCAAATCATCTGATAAAGCTACAGAACAGGAAAAAACAACAACCTTGCTGTCAAACTACCAAAATCCTAAAGATGAAACCCCCGCCTGTTATTCCCAGGTACATATTTTTGATGAGTTTATTGCCTCTTCAGTCCAAGAGGAAGCAGATCTAGCAATGCATATTTAAACCCTTTAATAAAAATAAACACACTTCAAATAACATTTTAAATTCGTAGTTAGATAAATAAACAATTGCATACCTTCTAACTGCGGACAAACGCCCTACCCAAAAACACTATAAACTTCCACACTGGGAGCCACACATCCATGGGCTCTACATTTTTGGAAATAAAATCTACTTGACAGGGAGAGCAAATTGCACTTGATGCGTTTTCCGGATTTATTACTGGATCTTCAGTCAGGGGCGAAAAAACTGGGGTGGGGGGAGAGGGGGATATGTAAGACCCCCCAATATTTAATTTGGATGAATTCATCCCTGCCCCGTAATGAATAAGAACTTTCTTTTCTAATTACTCAGGTGTGCCCCAGTCACCCCCCAAACATTAAACTCTCTCCTCCGCCGCTGTTTTAAGTTAAGCCCCGACGGAAACCATGCCTCACGGTGTCACCGCCGCAGTCCCCGGCATATGTATACAATGGAAGCCTGCTAATGCGCAGGAGGAGGGACCGATGTCGCGTCCAGGACCTGTCACGGCGAGGCGGAGCCGCCTCCCAGCAGCACAGAGACTCAGTTTAATGGTAGAAACAATAGTGTCAGCTGCAAATTCATGACTATTCATAATGACCTTCCTTATAGCAACTACTGAAGGGCAATTACAGCAAACTAATTTAACGATTGCTGCTTCTCAGACCTCACACATAAATTCCTTCTCCATTAGATTCCCACCCAAAACTGATTATCCTTTTGCAAGCGAACAGTCGTTCTCATCTGCCTTCGTTTCCTTTCTTTGTCCGTGTAGCATCACAGCCTATCCCGCACACCCAGTCGTCCGGCTCCATTTTACCTTCTGATCTTCCATGTCGCTGTCCGTAATATCAGTGTGGTCTAATTCTGTCCGACTTGTTTGTTGTTCTTCTGTGTCTCTGTACCCCGCATTCAAGCAGGGTGGTACTGATGGTGCCGAAGTACGTGCTGCACCATCCCTCCTCCAGAATCTTGGTCCATGGCGTATATTGCGCAACAGCACGAGCTGTCAACGCCGGGAATGATGGGAAATGTAGTTAAATATATAGCGGCAGCAATTTGAAATCAGATGAATGTTTTTTCCTGCAAGCCAGTAGTGGATAGGCGGTTGGACGATGGATGGATGGATGGATAAGTAGCTTCCTGATTATAATACTATATATTTATACATAGGGCTATCGTTATTACAAATATGTAGCTAATCATTTTAAACATCTGTAGCTCTGTTTTACATAATATCAAATACCTGTGGAAGGCAATGTTTTAATATATTTAAGTGCATTCCCACTATTCTGCCATATTTTTTAAAATGCAATATCCTTTTCATTTTGTAATTTCCAACATATTTCGCCAACTGAAAACATGCACATTGATTCGTTTTGTTTCTACGTGCTTAAATATGTGTTTGTGTTGGAGAGTTTATTAATTAATCACTGTTTTTTCCTAATCTCACTGACAATCAAAAACTTTCTAAACTGCAAATGTCTCGTGATAAAAGAGACCACAATGCTATTCGTAGTGAAAATATACTTAGAAACATACGCTGAATGATGAATTTTGATTTGTAATGAATGCAGCAAATCAGTGTTACACCCAAGGTGCAAGACACCTTCTAGACCTACTTCCTGGATTTTACTTAAAAGGTAAATTTACCTACAGCTAAGGGTACAATTGCTCGACCCTTGAGGGTACAGCCCCAGTGACAAGTAATTGTACCTCAAAGGTATGACTTGGTACTTTTTTCCTAACAGTGTACAGACTCAGCTCTCCATCATAGTTACCCTTTCTACACCAGGCTTTGTATCTGCATTTAGAAACATAGATTCACCTCCACTCACTCAACCTGAAGCTTGCAGTTTTATTTTGGTCTCTTTTCGTTCAGTCACCCTCCGCTCTCTCTAGTCTATGAGAAGATCCTCCCAGCCACCCCCAAGAACCCACTTAGCAAACCACCTCTCTGCACTCGTTCTCTTGATTTGCGTCATCATAAAAACAGATCCGACAGTGGGACCAAGGTGACCCCTTTTCACACCCTTTTATGAGCTTTGCAATGGAGGTCTGGTTCAAAATACTTTGTCTACTAACATTAAAAGGTAAGCATGACCTGTAGTACATTACAATACCATGCTATTTGTTTTTTACAGATAAAGTCTTATAAGGACCAATTATTGTGTTACAGTTACTAGAAACCTATGCTAGTTTTTTCAAGCAGATATGTGTTCGTGATCACATTTTTAATTGAAATTAACATGTTGTGATATTTGCAAAACTTGTTTGTATTACTATAAAAAATATCGTATTATATCACCATGCATATCTGATTTCAGCATTATCAGTTATTCTGATTTTGCTGAACGATTTGCCAAACAAACGGAATTCACGTTGTTGATATCATATTTATTTATGAGGAAGTGACTAAACACTGCATTGCTTGGAACTGAGACGCTGAACTTAGCATAGGAACAAAGTGCATACTGCCCTGACTGCATTTTTTCCACTCTCCGGAATGGTATTTTACTTCAAAAACAGCCAGAGGATCTTCTGTGAGTCATAGTGTGGCAGAAATTACAGCGCAGTTTAGCATAAGATGATTTTGTGTGCCTTACATGCTGTTGTCATATGGTGTCCAATCTTTATATTAACCTTTTCACCTTCACTCATCTTTGTTCCCATCTTACTGGACGTCCAGTATTCACCTCGGCGGTCCTGGCTGTCGCGTATGGTGAGGAATATGTCCTCACTCCTCAAGGGCCACGGGAAGCCACTGCAGGAGCTTCTCCTATCCTCAACTGCAGTTACACATTCATGGACAATACTCGGCTCAGGGTGACATGGTGGTTTGGCCAAACAGCTGAGCCGACCTGTAAGATCTCAAACCAAATATGGCTCTCCTCTAGCCTGGCCTCCGCCAATGAGACGAAGCCCAAGAACAATGGGATGGAGGTAGCCCAGCTGATGGGGGACAATTGGTCCACGCTGGAGCTGAAAAACGTCACCCAGAATTACAGTGGATGGTACTTCTGCCAAGTGATTGTAGAGATACCAAACCTTCAATCAATCTGCAGCAATGGAACAAAGCTCAATATCAGTAAGTGTTGGTAAACACAGAAAATGCAGAAACATGCATCAGTGAACAAAATATCTGTATTGAAATTGAATGAAGCATTCACACTTCAGCAGGCATCTTTACTGACTGGCAAGATGATTGAACAATATTTGACCAACTTCAAGGAAACATGATCAAAATGTCATTATTGTAAGCATGGGCGTAAATTATGAGGGGGATGGGGGGTGGTAACCCCCCCCCAATAATCAAAATCAGCCAATACAACACTCTGGACCCCCTTAAATGGGGGGAGACATAAACCTCCTAAGTGCTCAACCAAAAATTATGCCCTTGGTTGTAAGACTGAATGCGTTTATGCATTATTTTAATATATAGTCAAAACATCATGCCAAAAAAGAATAATTCTCTTCCTTGTGAAGACATTAATATTTATGCAAATTCTACATTGAAAAGATAATTATTAATAATTCTTATATGACTTCATCTATAGTTATTGTTCAGTATGATTATTCTTTCTTCAGTTTTAAATCAATGCAACATTGTACTGACAGGTGATTCTCAGAAGTTTGTTTTTCTTTTATATCACACGTCCATTTTCCCTGAGCTTCACCTTGACAGCATCATGGATTCTTTGACTTCAGATGTTTTCAGAACTTTTTGTCTGAGAATTGGCCTCTTGATGCAGGATACAGTTCATTGTGTCTATTCAACTTTATCAAATGAACAGGGATTATTTACTTCCCTTTAAAATTACACGGTAACAATGTAGCTACTAAGTCTGTTGTAAGATATTCTTCTCCAGTGATTCTTAGGCACATTTCCACCATTGGTTTACTTCAGTGCACATGAGAAGCATCTCGCATGAGACGATTAACGCAATAAGATGTGCTCCCGGTCAATTTCATAATGATTTCTTCTTGCTTCCACAATAGACGACACATTTGTATCGAGTAAAGGCTTCATTGTTCATTTTCTATTTTAATTATGTGTAAAGCAGTATTGTAGGCCAACATGGGTTGTATGCAACCCCCAAAAATGAGTACATCCTGTTTCCACTGCAGATCAGTAAGACTTCAAGAGAACACAATGGTACAATGAGTCCAAAATGAGCGGAGGTCATTTCATATGCACTTAATTTAATTTTATTTAATTTCATATGCATTGCTTCTCCAAACACATAAATCTGACTTTTCTACTGAAAAGCTTTATTGTTATTACTGGTTAAAATGATATTTTTTCCCTTTCCTTTGTAGCCAACGAAACTGTCCCCTATATTCCCCCAGTAGTTCCTCAGGAAGATGCAAGCTGGTTGATGAGGGTGACACTGGGAGCCGGGGCTGTGCTGCTGGCTGTGCTTTCAGTGGGCAGCATCTGGATGATATACAGGAGAATGAAAGGCAGGGTTACAGGTGGGTGACACACACGCCTAACACACATGCACACATTCCATTTACTATTTTTGTTAGGGAGCCTAGTTAATAACAATAGAGCCTCTGTGTGCAGCATCACGTGTGAGAATGACAAACACTACAGTCAAAAGTAAAGAAAAATGAGCACAGAAAGTGGTACAGAAGCATGTTAATTAAACTCATTAATATCATACTTCATCCCATATAAAATAAGCAAGCATTATTTTATTCCTGTTACATTGTATATGAATATTTCATGATATATGGATATCAAATATAATTGTTACAATAAACAATAAAGAACTCGGTGTGTATGTTGATGCTTCCATGTCCCACTCTCGCCAGTGTGGGGAAGCAATAAAAAAGGCCAATAGAATGTTGGGTTATATCTCTAGGTGTGTGGAGTTTAAGTCAAGGGAGGTGATGTTACATTTATATAATTCCTTGGTAAGACCCCACCTAGAATATTGGTCACCATACCTTAAGAAGGATATTGCTGCCTTAGAAAAGGTGCAACGGAGGGCTACGAGAATGATTCCTGGTCTTAGAGGAATGTCTTAGAGGTGATGGGCCGAATGGCCTCCTCTCGTTTGTAAATTTCTTATGTTCTTAATAAACATGTTTTGCATTGTCATATGCCAATGATGGATGTTCGGACCAGTGGTTATTTCTATGCATGAAGTACATGAATTTTCCAGTAATATTAGAGCGATTGGAGGATAGAGATAGGTGGATGGGGGTATTTAAACTCGATTGCTCTGTTTGCTTGTGTATTTATGTACTCTGTTGATTCATATATTTGAGTCATAAACCCTCAGAATTTAATATCATAAGCCACCTCAAGTAACCTTCTGGGAGGGCTGTATGAAACAGGCTACATGACAAGTTGAACAAACAAGTTCTGCAGACTTACAGGAACGAGGCCAGAGGTTTTCCTCTGTAGCCCCTCTGTGCAGGCTGAGTGTCTCTGTAGGTGGGTGTGTGGTTACGTTCTATAAGACAGATGAGGAGATAGCAACCGAAATTAGTGCTTTGCTCGTGAGCTTCATGTCACATAGCGAGAACGCTACGTGCATTGGTTTCTGTTTTCGGAACCTAACGAAATGTTTTTCAGTGCTAACGGGCTGCCCGAACGTGAGGCAGCTCTTCCGAGAGATTTTCATACTTCTTGCGAGCAGTTTAATATGAATATGAGCCAGGGTGCCTCTCTTAATTGCCTGCAGAGAACCCCATCTATGAAAATATGCATCCAGTGAGGAAAAGTCAAGCTTTACCGAGTGGGAGGCAGCGGGTCACCTTGCAGACACCGCCCAGGAAACCGGTGGGAACCCTCGAGGAATCCACATCTTCTGACATCAAACTCCCCAGGCTACATTTTTAACTGTTTTATATATCTATAAATTTGAAGTTGTTTTGCTTTTTACATTCAAGTCAGTTGTCTGCTACGTGCTTCGGCCACGGACAGTAAACACAACGGCTTCTGGATCAGCACGTCTCTCCCTGTTACAGACATTCTTTACACAGTTCAGAAGAGATCAGACTTAACGACGAAAAGTTTTCCTGTTCCATGCTAGCTACAAAAAGCTTTCGTTATGTTAAGTGTCGACTTTGGAGAAGGCAGGCCTGTATGTGGAAGGCTGTGTTTACAGTAGGTGACCTCCCACAGGTTGCAAAATTCCATCGCCATCATAAGCACATCGCACCGGCTGCGCAGAGACTCCGGATTCTAACTGTACAGTAGTCTGTGATTTGCTCACTGAAGCAAGATGAATTTCGGTTTTACATATTAGTGGAAAGTATAGTAAATTATAACGCAAACTCCTGAATTAAAAATGAAAAATTAAACATTGGACATTGATGAAGTTCTGTTTCTGATTATGACAGTGATCATAATCCTAACAATCCTAAAAGTAGGGCTGTCATGATCAAGAAATTTTTTGTTGGCGAATAATTGTCATACAAAAAATCGCGATTAACGATTTGTCAGAAGAAAAAAGATCAGAAGAAAATGGACAAAATAACGTTCATTTCTCTATAGTTCTTTGTCCTATTTGCATGCTATACTGACTTTGCTGCAGCTTAATAGGGACAACCGCCAGGGACATACACTATATTACCAAAAGTGTTGGGACACCCCTCCGGATCATTTAATTCAGATGTTCCAATCACTTCCACAGCCAAAGGTGTATAAAATCAAGCACCTAGGCATGCAGACTGCTTCTACAAACATTTGTGAAAGAATGGGTTGCTCTCAGTGAATTCAAGCGTGGTGCCGTGATAGGATGCCACCTGTGCAATAAGTCTGTTTGTGAAATTTCCTTGCTGCTAAATATTCCATAGTCAACTGTTAGTAAACAAAGTGGAAGTAATTGGGAACAACAGCAACTCATCCAGGAAGTGGTAGGCCACGTAAAATCACAGAGCGGGGACGACGCATGCTGAGGCGCACAGTGTGCAGAAGTCGCCAACTGTCTGCAGAGTCAATAGCTACGGAGCTCCAAACTTCGTGTGGCCTTCAGATTAGCTCAAGAACAGTGCGTAGAGAACTTCATGGGATGGGTTTCCATGCCCGAGCAGTTGCATCCAAGCCTTACATCTCCAAGTGCAATGCAAAGCGTCGGATGCAGTGGTGTAAAGCACACTGCCACTGGATTCTAGAGCATTAAACAAGCGCCAGTCAAACATCACACGGTAGAAATCGATGTTGAAATAGTCATAGAGATATTATGGTTCTGTGTCATTCACCTATTTTTATACAGATAAATGGAGACAATTCTAGCAATTATGCAAAAAATAATCCTGGTCAGCTCAAATAATCGCAACAGGCCTATCTACAAGTAGTCAGAAGATGCCCATTCAGATCTGTTTAAATGGTTTTTCATTAATGTTTACTTAAAATTATACTGCATTATAGATACCGTCATAATGCATTATGATACATTCATCAAGCATTATAAACACAGCTATAACTATTTATAAAAAGGCACAACACATTATAGCCATGTTTATTATCTATGAAGCTCTCAGCTATAATATACTATAATGCATCCTTAATTCTTATACTGACCATTATAATGCATAATGAAGGTATCTATAATGCATTATGATAACTGCTTTAAGTAAAGCATTACCGGTTTTTCTTCCAGCTTCTCATAAAGACTCATAAGTTTCTTTAAATGTTACCTGATATTTTAATTAATATAATTTAGGCCTATTTAATTTTAACAAGAAAATGCTGTACAAAACCTGTATTAAATATTTTTTTCAATAATTCCTCAGATTTTATTTGTATTTTTTATTTTTTCTTATTAGCAAAAACTACCCATCTTGCATTATAGACAAGTAATGATGAATTTTTAGCACATACTGTATTCTGTCTGGGGTCCCCAGAGGCTAATAACTGCATTTCCTCTGTAGGAAATGGCTAATTCCTTTTTTTCTTTTTGTTGTATGTAACATGCAGTGACACTCTACTGGATCAGTATGGTACAGAAAACCAATGGATGGAAGGATTTACACGACACTCTTTAACCTGTTTCCCAGTTAAAAAAAGATTAACTATCTCTTATTTTCATATTCGGAATATACAGTATTAAGGCATATTAATAATATATATTATTGATGTATATGTGTATATACCAGGTTGAAATCCTAATGTGACTTTTTGGGGGCTTTCCGTTAAGGGTTTGGATAAATAACAGATTAAGCTGGTAGCTTAGGTCAATGTTTCCCAACCCGGTCCTTGGGGTCCCTCAGACACTCCATGTTTTTGATCCCTCCCAGCTCCCTGCCAGACAGTCCACGTTTTTGCTCCTTCCCAGCTCCCTGCCAGACAGTCCACGTTTTTGATCCCTCCCAGCTCCCTGCCAGACAGTCCACGTTTTTGCTCCCTCTCAGCTCCCTACCAGACAGTCCACGTTTTTGCTCCCTCCCAGCTCCCTGCCAGNTTGCTCCCTCCCAGCTCCCTGCCAGACAGTCCACGTTTTTGCTCCCTCCCAGCTCCCTGCCAGACAGTCCACGTTTTTGCTCCCTCCCAGCTCCCTGCCAGACAATCCACGTTTTTGCTCCCTCCCAGCTCCCTGCCAGACAGTCCACGTTTTTGCTCAGGAGCTGGGAGGGAGCAAAACGTGGAATGTCTGGGGATCCCTGAGGATCGGGTTGGCAAACACCGGCTGAGGTTATTTCTTGATCTTTGTACTGCATATTATCTGCACTATTTAAACCGGCTTTTTATCATCTTTAAGCAGCTGAGTACTGGCTGGATTCAGACTCAAATCCTGACACTTGGAATCCGCCACTTCGTTATTTATGTTATACTGCATCATTGACTGTGCAACCAATTAAACATTCTGTAGATTAAACCCAGTGTTCGGTGTTGATGTGACAGACATGTTTTTCCCGTGTTATAACTTCTGCCTGGAGTAAAGGAAACTCAAATTTAGCATTAATCCACCTCAGAGATTCTGCTTTGTTATGGCGGGAATGTGTCATGCACAGGTTTACCCGGGCTGAAGTGCAGGGGCCTCAACTAACCGTAACTCCACCCTCACCCCCCAAACCAAGATAACTACACCACCGTAGAAAATAGCACGGTGGGGTCTGATGGCTGAAATAGCCCGGGGCCTCAGCCCATGTTCATGTGCCTCTGTGTGTAACTGGTGTGTGGTCTCCGATAAGTCCAGCGTGCAGAACCACAGACCAATACTCCGTGTACAAGCAAATTCATTAGACCTTGAAACATTTCAAATGGGCACGTAACGCTACACAAGCTACATTTTTTTACTGACGTTTGCATTGTATGTCTGCAGTCTTAAATATTCATTTTCGTAACATTATCAGTTTCAAAACAAGTTGTATTTCATTGTGGACAGGCCAGTTGTTAACTGTCATCGTACACACGCACAGCGAAATGAAGTATTAATTTCACTGTAATTTTACTGTACCTATGTACTGCTGTCAAGAAATTCCATTGTTTATCAATACAGCAGGCTGGTGCTGCTTGCACTTAAAATTCAAACCTCACGCTGTTTAATTGCCACATAATTTAAATGACTGGATTTTGAAAATCCGTATAAAGTCCTTTGCCGCTAACTGCTGATGAGTATTTGTATGTCACACGTGTGTTTCCTTATCGTAGTTATTTAAAAGACGATGCGTTGATTGTTTGAAACGCCACTGCCACAAACTGCAGGGCTGCGCTTGGTTATATGCTGAATGTCACCTGGAGGCCCATAGTCGTGCAAATTGGCATCTTTACGCCAAGGGACGACAGGATACAACTGTATATCAATACATTTCTTATAACAGCAGGTTCTAGTTTTGCGCAAGTATGAAATACATGTGGTTAAAATGGCTCATATCCTTAAATTACGTGAGTCCATTCACCTGTTTTTGTATTTAGTAGATTTGTTCCCCAGTGATTCATTTGTATTAGTTTTTCTAGTTCCTGAGATTTGTGGTTTGCATTCTGTATTTTTATTTTTGCTTTGTACCCTTTATTTTGTTTTATCTGTTTTTATTTCCCTAGTGTTTGGATTCTATTTCCTAGTTTCCTCGAGTTCCTTGGTTTAATTATTATTTATTTCACCCGTTGCCCGTTTCTTATGCCAATCCTTGTTAATTGTCCCCACCTGTCTTGCGTTATCTTGTTAACTCTGTCTATTTAAGTACCTGATACTGTAATTCTGTTCCTTATGGGGTCATTGACTGTGATGTATGTATTGGGTTTCTGTGCTAATGGTGCTCTGCTTGATTCACCCAGTCCTGCTCCCTGGTTGTGTTTAGGTACGGTTTCTGTAGTTAGTTGATCTGTGTTTTTTCCCGGTTTTTATTTTGACTCCCTTTGGTCCGGTTATTAGTTTTTTTTTTTTCTCTCCCCAGTGTTCTTTGTTAAATGCAATAAACCCTTGTTTGTCTGAGTCACAAGTGGATCGCCACCTTCCCGTCCGCACCATGCTCTGCGCCCGTGACATACCGACTCTTTCAGATGTCGCCATTACTCCGGTGAGTTGTGAAAGCGGAGGTATCTCCGCACAGTATAGTATACTCGGGGAAAGGATCATACGAAGAATCACTCCCCGAACAATTAAATCGGCTCAGTGAGAAAGATCATTCCGTTCACTTACAAAGTACTTTAAAAAAAATAATAATAATAATCTCATGGATTTGGCAAACCAGTGACATTTAGCATAATTGGTGTCTTGAAACTGCCGATTTGTGTGTAATCTTTGTTTATGTAAATGAGTCCTGCAATAGACTGGAAGCTTGATCAGCATTTTACCTCAGCCCTGCGTTACCTGAGATGTAAATTTGGTGCCTATTTTGTCATTGCTTGTTTTTATTGGGGGGTGTGTGTGTGTGTGTGTGTGTGTGTGTGTGTGTGTGTGTGTCTGTCATTTCAGAATGATTAGATTAAGTGATGAAACACTCTCAGACTTTTCACCTTTTGCTATAGTGAGCAACGCTGAGGCGACAGACAAATACTGTTCAAACCACTGCCATAGAATTGTGAGGCATGATTTTGATGACCAGTTGTAAGGCTGATGTAGCATAACCAGGCTGTACGCCTACAACTGTGCTGAGGTAGAATGTGAACTTAATGCAGCCTGCGTGCAGTGTTGAGCTGTGTTGCAGTACGTGAATAATGCAGCAAGGGTGTCGGGTTACATCTCACACACTGGACCCGTATTTGTGGCCGGCTGCAGTTTGCCTGCTACTGGGTCATTGTTTATGATGCAATCTCCGATCGCGGGGCGCTGGCTAAGTAAGCCGACGAAGCTGTCTTCATTCCCTCAGACGTGCGATGTACAGCTGAACGGGTCTGCCAGGAAGTTGTGGCAGGAAAGACAGTTTGGGTCTGTGGCTTTTTTTTTCCCCCCTCTCTTCTCAGAATGCAGTGACGTGCAATGGAAAGACTTTTATCAGCAGCCAGAGTCCATGGAAGTCTTGTCTGTCCAAATGCTAGTTTAAGACCCTTCCCTTCCCATTGTCTTCTCACTTTAGCCCAACAGGCTCTTGTCATTAAACTTCAGATGCAATCAAAGCATTAATTGGAAAAGCTCTGTGGGGCTGGATTCAGTACCAAGTCCCACTTCTGACTGACTACATGAATTCTTGTAAACTTTTTTTTTCTTTTCAGTAACATTTCTTGTATTTTGTCCCTCACCTGAATAAACCAGGGACAACATATGGAAGATATGTAATAACATTATTAGTATTTTGTGCATTTCATAAAAATATGAATCATTGAACAGTACTATACGTGTACAGAATACGTCCAGAAGGGGTGCCTCACTGTTGGAAGGTGCTAATATTGAGCAGTATACATGGCCCATTGTCCTATGAGCCTCGATTCATTAGCATAGGTCAAGGGAAGACATTTCACTGTTGGTTGTTTGCTGTCATGAGTTCCTCCTTTTGCAGTTAGCTGGCTACAGTTTAACCCAATTATCTAGCCAATTAAATCCTAAACAATGGAGCAAAACAGCCCAGGAGAGAGGGGGCTTCAGCTGTTAGCACTGTTATTTCACATCCCCAAGGTTGGGGGTCCAAATCCCACTTCAGCTGTGCTGTATGTTTTTTTTTATTTTCTGGATTCTATCAGTCATAAATTGCCCACAATGTATAAATATGCCCCAGGATGGACCCCTGCCTCGTGGCTTATACTGCCTGGGATAGGCTTGAGTCCTCCCCCCATGACACTAAACAACATGAGGGACTAGCGCAGGGTTATTCAACTCATGGTCCTCGAGGTCCGAGCACTGCTGGTTTTCCAGCCTTCCTTTACCTCTGTCAGGTGTGAAGCCTCTGACCAATCAGAATCAGTAATTATTAAACAACTACCTGGGAGAACTGAAAACATGGCCTGGATTTGGAATCGAGGTCCAGAATTGAAGAATCCTGGACTAGCGGATGGATGGAAAGCCGTCACGTGGAATCAACCTATTACTGGATTGATAAACTGTGACTTTGGCAATTGCATGGGCGCAGTTACTCTCTCGTTTCGTGTAGGTTAACTTCAGGGTCAGTCACTTCAGGTTCCATCTGAAATGAAAATTGTGGACCTCGTTTTAATTTTCAGCACAATTACATAGCAGCAATATTACAATAAAATAAAAATATGAATACCTTCATGTTTTTCACAAAATGCCTAAATGTTCCCAAATTTAGACAGATTAAGTTAAAGGAAGTTTTTCAAGTGAAGGAAGTTTGTCATCCGCACCAAATTTGCATGAGGTGGAACGAAATTGTGTTCACACGGTTCCGGTTAACCCAATTGAACAAAGAAACATAATAATGAATAGTGAAGTAAATAAGATAAAGTAAAAGAAATAAGAAAAGGTAAAAGTAAAATTAAGGTACTAAAAAAAAAAGTGCACCAACTTAAATATCAAGTATGGCAGAGATGTAATATAATTATGATTATAATTATAGCAGCAAATGAAGGCTAGCTAGCTAGCTAGCTCTTGTAAAATTACGGTATCAGTAAAGTGGCAGTGATTCATCCTAAAGTGAAGTGCTTGTCCATTAGTTGTTCAGAAATCTTACAGCTACCGGAATGAAGCTGTTTCTCAGTCTGGTGGTTTTACGCTTAATGCTCCTCAACCTGTCTTGTCGGGTTTATGAACTAGGAAACTTAGGCAGCAGATAACATCATGCCTCTCCTGAGAATGATACAACACTAAAAGTAGTTGCTGGACGTTATTGACTTTCTGTGCAGAAGCCCAGGCAAAAAGGCGGCACCCTGTCTTCAACAACTGGGCACACAGGTGCCGCTGCAGTGATACGCTGAGACAAGCCGGTTTCTCCTGATATTAGCTAGAGCTCTTATTTTAGGCGCTCGGAAGCCTATAGCTGTCCCATGTTAACGACTGTGTCACCTACCATTCGGGTGTCATTCAGGGTGCAGTTCGTCCCACTGAAACATGCTCTGACAGGCATGAGTGTCAGTCATCCTGTCCTTAGGCCCCCAGATAAGCAGGGCGGACGTGCATATTTAAAAAGCATAAACCGTGAGAGTCAGTGTGAAGCAAGCTGAACTGTCGGGTTTATTTTGTGGTGGGACGGTGGTTAGCACTATAGCCTCTCACCCTTTTCGAGTTCCGATTTCTCCCCCCCGCCCTGTGCCCGACCCTTATACATTTCCCCCCATGTGTGCATGGCCCATCTCTCAATGTCCCCCCCCCCCCAATGCAAAAACCTTGCACTTTCCCCTCGTGTGCATAGCCCTTCTCTGTCACCCCCCTCCAGCCCTGTGAAAACCTTGCACTTTCCCCCCATGTGTGCATGGCCCTTCTCTGTCGCCCCCCTCCAGCCCTGTGAGACCCTTGCACATTCCCCCCATGTGTGCACGGCCCATCTCTCAATGTCTCCCCCCCCCC